TCATCCCTGCCTTTCGTCGTTTCCCCTAATGCTTCAGGGAAACGATGGAAGACAGGATGAATGAAGGATAGGTCTGTCCTTACATTTATTTAGTGGTGTTTGGTATTTGGTCGCCTTTACATTTCAATTCACATAAAAATTTCGGATATCGATCGCGTTCTGCGCGTAAAATCAATACGTATTTTTAAGACGTTGCTAAAAGTCGGTTGATTCGCCAAAGTAGCTCGGCTTTAATGAATTTTTCAAGCTTCATTTACTTCCAATTGGTGCCCCTACCTCCGTTTACCTCTCCTTTATCATTCAACTAAATTTCTTTTCGTAAAATATGTCTACTCTCTTGGATTGAACTGGTCCAATTCTCTTCTCCGACTACGTATTCGTTGTCGTACCTGCTACCTTTCTGCGGTCATCTCTTTTTCGCCTGCCTTTCATCGTTCCCCGGAAAATTACCGCATTATTTCTGTGCCATTCCATCCGTCTTTATGCAGTAATGCATTGAAATTACTCGGTATAATAAAAACGAAAACGAGTTATTCGAGTCGAGTGAACTCGCAGAGATTCTTACCTATTCTGGCTTCTATTTGATTCTTTCTTTTTTAAGCGGATACGTATATTTCTCTTTATTTCATGGTAGCACTTTTTATTCGCCTTCACTCACTACGGTATAATTGCATTTCGCCTACCTTTGCATTTACATACTACACTAATGTCTAATGAAGCAGCTCATTCCCCACCAGGAGCCCCTAGCATGAAGACAGTAGGCACTGGGTTGGTATAGGAGAAGAGAAAAACGATGATACTCGACAGTCATCTCAACCCACTCTGCTTTTTTTTCTTCGTTTGAAACGACTGTCAAGCGATAAATGAGAGACCCGCCCACTAAAGGACGATCTATCGTGCTGTGAGACTGTAGGCATCAAAGGACTCTACCTTCTAATTACGGGACAAACGGGCAAATAAACTAAACGACTAGAACTAACTTAGAAAAAAGATTGGGGGAATATGTTCTGTATCATTTGTGTTCCGCAAAACTAATACGATGTTAGTTTTTTTTTTCGCCGAGTCTCTGTTTAGCAGATTCTCCAGGTGGGCATGTATCCAATTCTTTTCACTAATTTCCTGATTATCTGGGGATGCAACATTTTGTTGTGGGGAGAGACAGTTTCCTTTGTCGCGTAATGTGTCCTGAAAAACAGGAAACCACGCCTTCATAGGATGGCCCACCCCCACTATGATCAACAAGAGAGTGCCGAGAACGCAACCAATGCCGGTTCATTCAGTGGTCAGTCTCTGTCACGGAATGCGCTTTTATTACTAGTTATCAAACCTGCTACAATGAATATTGATTAAAACGCCCAATCAGTATTTGTTCCCAACACTTGTTCTCTGACGTTTTTCCTGTATGGAAGCATACTATGGTAAACAAGTAAACGAAATTTTCTTCGATAGACAGTTGTGAGTGTTTGGGAGTAAACAGCAAAAGTTGTCAAAACAAACCTCTCAGAATACAAGAACGTTCCCAAATATGGGAATTTTAGCACGATTTTTCGAACCGCCCCAACGGCGTTTTGATTCCCCCCTCCTCATGCACCCAGGTAGGAAATGGCAGTGATTCCATTCCCAAAGCTCTCCGCAATTACGTTCCCATCACAACCGTAGATAGGACAACAAGTGAGATTTACTCAATACTCACTTAATGAACCATTATGTTAGAGTAAGGCGTCGATCGAGGGAAACTAGGCCAGATAGTCGGCATGTCACTTAAACGGAGATTCTAATCTACTATGCGCTTTAATAGTACGACAGGGTATAGGTGAAGGCACTTCCTATTTTATTTCGGCTACATAATTATAATTTCTCGATCGATATTAGATCGCTTCTATTTTACTGAAATATTGATTTAGGCTAGTGTACAATCGGTTGTTTATTGACCCAGTTTTCAATTTGAAGGTGAGCCTTGTCAGTAAACGTGCTCTAATGCGAACGTGGCATCGATCGCTGAACATTTCCTTGCCAGCGAATCATTTTTTATGATAATTGGACAGTTACTGTCTATTAGCCAGTGCCCTTGCAGACTGATTTTCCCTTCAGCGGGCTATTTCTGATGTTATCTGCTATCATAATTGAATCCTACAGCATATTGTGCCGTTTTTCCTTTCTTTCTGCTTTTTGGATCGCATTAAATTGAAGCACTCCGATTTTTTATGTATAAATTATTTTGTATTATAAAAGTGTATTTTAAGGGGTGATGAGCACTCCGAACAACCCGAAAGATGACGATGTGCCTGAAAAAGTGCTGCAGAATGAAACGGGTAGACAGCAAGAGCAGCAACAACAGCCTCAGCCTCAGGAACCTCCTCCCCCTCCCTCGGATTGCATGGATGTAAAAACTGTAAGGATATTGAGCAGCTTCGTTCTTTTATGTGAACTTTGTTATTTAATTTATTTCCATTTAAAGGATACCGGGAAGGAATCACCTTCCACGGTTTCGCTCAATAGTTTACCATCGACACCACCGTTACCTGCCGTTGAAAACAACATGGAAATTCCGCAAACGACACCAAAGCAACCGTCTCGTCTTGATCAATTATTGGAACAATTTCTTGCATATGAATCTAGTCTTTCAATGACCGACTACATCAAACGATTCTACGTGAGTGTTTAGACAAAGATTATATGTGGGCTTATCTGTAAATTGTGTCGTACCTGAACAGTTTGTAAATTTGTTGTTGAGTTTTATTAGGAATTTGGAGCAAAGATAAGGGTTGGGACCGAGTAACATCAATCAAGCGAAAGAAATACTGAAAGAACATGGGCCTTGGGCTAGCAGTGACCAGGATATCATCTTTAGAGCCTCCAACTATGCAAAGCGATTTTTGAAAATTACTTCTGTGGAAATTTTGTTTGTGAGTTTTGAAGACTTGATTACGAATAGTACATCCATTGCTGACACTGTGACCATTTTTTGAGGCTTCGAATTTTCCTTCACAAAGAGAATCACATCTTTAATGAGAGATATGTGAAGTTTAAATGTGATTGTATGCGTAATTAGGGCTAAACAGCTAGAAGTTTAAAGATCTAGATAAATTTAGCTCCAAGTCTTATTGAAACATAGCGTCCACTCCGAAATTATGTTTTTATTATATCCGTATTCGCTTGGTTGTTCTGATTTCCGACCCATGGTTCCATCCCTACTTTTCAGCAAATCCGACTCGAACAAGAGGCTCTTCGCAATGATCCTGAGTTTTCGGCCAAATGTGCGTCGGAAAGTGTGCACGTGATGCGTAACCGATATCGGGATATTTTGCCTTGTTAGTTTATTTTATTACTGTTTTTTAATTCTTTATTTACAGTACTTTTTGTATATTTTCTAGCATTACATTTTTCTTCTTTTTGATATATTGTTGTGCGACTTGGCTCTAGGAAATCAGAACTGATAATTAAGTTGCTATCAGACGAACCAGGCAGTTCTAGAATTTGATTATAGAAAGGTATCAGGGAAGAAAGGCATCAATTAAGTGACAATGTTGCGCAGTGACATGAGTTATATTTCAAGGATGGGAACGTGGCATCCCACTGAGACGGCCCTTTTTGTCTGACTTCTGAATCTACCTGTCAATTCAAGATTCAAGAGGGAAGGGTGGTTGATGTGGTAGGATAAAGATGATGTGAAATCGTGAAATAAATTTTTCATTCGTTTGATTTTGATGGGGCATTTTTCCTGCCACGTACGACGTACTATTTATTCCCACCATTCTTTTTATGTGTTGTCCTTTTGTGTGCCTCACACTGTATGTTTTAATGTCCATACAGTTGTGATTTTATTATTTAGTAGTTTTTTATTGTCAGCTTCCCAAACCCTGTTTTCACTGGGTTGCTCTGTAATCTGCTGCGGTCTCTACGAGTACAAACTTTAGTTACTTAGTAAGCATAGCATAGCGTGCCGCGTGTTTAATATGCACATATCTTAATACTTCATAATCGGCAGCCTATTTTCAATCCGGTTCAGCGTAAATACGCAGAAACCTTTAGCGGTAATATGTTGCCATTCGAAGGATATATGGTTAAGTTTTGATGGATTGCCGTCTTCGTGACGTGAAGAGCACATCATGCTACTAATTCCAAAATAGAAAGTACTTGATGAATGTTATAGTTTGAAGTTGTATTTTTTCGCAGGTTAAAGGGGGAGGATAAAGTCTTAGGGTTTAATCCCGTCCGAGGGATGCGCCCATGAATTCGGCCTAAATTCAGAATTCAAGCGTATGTGGCCTATACAATGACTTGCGGTGGCCAGCCGATGTCCGCGTTTTTATCCTCACACGAGCCTGGTACTAACCAACCGATCCGCAAGGTGGAAGGCTGTGTTGGTTTAGGCGAATATCGATCCGGGATTCGAACCCGCGACTGTGCGTGTGATAATGCGCTACTTGAAAGTACATCACTTCCGCCCTTTTTCGCAATCACACGGAAAAAAAATTGTCATTAATTGGGAATTCGACAACTTTCTAGTAAGATATAATCTGCTGAGATAGAGCCTAATTTTTAATTCGCGCGAACAATCAACAGTTTCTCCGTCAATGCCTCGTTATCGTCCAGAATTTGTTCCATAAGTAAAAACATTTGCGTTAGTCAAGTTTTTAATGTTCTCCCTTTACTACCAAAATTTGGTTTTGTTCTTCCTTTTTTAATTGTTTTTTATAGTAACTATTAAATATTTTTTTGTGTTATACAATTCATGATGAGTATATACACTCATCTTCATTCTGAAGGTGTACTTTTCGCTGATGGCTTCTCATATTTTGGAATTTCAGAAGCTGTATTTTTCGGTTCTAGTTTGATTTTGTGAGGCTAACTGATACAATACACCTTTCTTATAAAATTCCCTAGAAGCCTTAACGCTATACCATTTTTGGGTATGTTATTGATAGCGTTTAACACTACTATTTCTTGTGGGAAGTTTAACTCTGGACTTTTTTGAAATTAATTTGCCTATCTCGTACAAATTGAAACGTTTCTCAAAGTGCGCTTGCATCTTTATCCCTTTTCACATTTTTTTTTCTTTTGATTGATGATCACTTTTAGAAATCTTAACCATATTTAACATCAAATTTCAAAGAATCCAAAATGCTAAAGAGAAATGTGTTCCGTTCGCAAACCTTTTCTGAAAAGCAGTGCATTTCAATGTCATTATTATTACTTGCAAAATCTGCTCAAATTAGTACCTAAGATTGTCTTAAAGTGTTGATGCGAGCCTTGGTGCTCCAAATTAGTCAGCAAAAATGCCCAAAAGTTAGAAACCATGGAAGCAATAAGATATTCTGCCCGTGTTAAATAATTTTATTATGATGTAATTAACTTTAGATGATCGAAATCGTGTCGCCCTTTCGCAATCCGATGACAATTCTAACGGCTATATCAACGCATCCTTCATCAGCCTTACCAAGGGACGTATGCGATTCATTGCTGCTCAGGCTCCTCTACCTGCTACACTTGAAGAATGGTTGGCTATTTCGCTCTACCTGGATTTTTGACTATTCATTTAGACTTGTATGATAAAATCTCCACCAATCTTTTATACCTTTCCCATAAAAACGTTAGAACCTAATTGTCTGAACTTCATTTGATCTTGCGTTGCTCATCTGCCCTTTGAAAACAAATGGTGCGGTTGGGGGGTTACCTTATGCAATCAAATAATTTATCGTGTGAAGAAACTTGGCGAAAGTTTCTTCCTTTGTTAAACTTAAATTCTTATTTTTTTTGTACGTTTCAGGTGGAAAATGGTCGACGAGCAGAAAGTGGTGCTTATTGTTATGCTTTGTAAATTGGTGGAAATGAACAAGGTAAGCTCAGGATTATTTATATGTTTACTATGACCATGATAAATCTTAATATACTTCAATGTTTGCCGAAACCCGATACAATGAAGAAAAAAGTGGCGATAGCAACTATTTCCTTTTTTTTGATTTTATTATCAAGGGGACTGACCCTTAGACCAGTAGTTGGGTTATATTCTCGACGTAACATGGATTTTTCATTAAAATGTTGGTCATTGATCTTCAAAAGTGTACAACACTTCAATCTATCGCAGGGGATGATCTGTTCAGGTGAAATGTGAGCGGTATTGGCCGGCGGAAATTGGTCAAAGTCTACTTTTTGGTTGTTATGAGATCACGTTAGATGAAGTGGAAACGTAAGTCAACAGTCATTTGCTCCTTTTTACGGGAGACCCCAACGAAAATAATTACAGATATCCTGACGACGAATATTTGTTACGTCGTTTGCGGATGACGAACCAGAAAACTGGAGAGTCTAGAGTGATTCATCAGCTGCATTACAAGTAATTTTTTTTCTTATTTGTTCAGTTGTTCAGTCGGAACAATCCTTCTACCACTGCTCACTTTGCTCTAGCTTTTTATAGCTACAGGTCACTCAAGAACCTTTGCTTATCATGATTGCTTTATCTGGGGCTGTTACTGTCTATCTATGGGGGGGG